GAAGCTACCGGATGATAGATGGCTATTTAAAGGAGGTCTTCAAAAGCACAGTATTATTACACATTTTGTAATGTTATTCACTGTGTCCAGGCCCTTCGCTTGCACGCAGGCCTGACCAATCAAATTTCAGGACCCATCTTTTGTGAGCCACGCCCTCAGCAACGCACTGGAGGTGAATGATCATGCCATCTGCTGGCACTCTCCCAGCATCACTGGGAGATCTGGAACTAACTACCAGGGTCACTGGCTCTACAGTGATCTTTGTGGGTTTTTAAAATTGTTTTTACTTCACTTCTTGTTTTCTTTTAGAGGTGCCTGTTGCCGTCCTTCCCACTTTTAATAAGGGCAACAAGGCCGCCATTTCCTCCTGCCCATTGGCTAGTGGCCCATCTTCTCCTGGACTTTTTTTTTTTTTATAAAACCACCCGGGGGAGGCCGATGATGATATGCCTACTGTTGCCAGTGTGCTTTTATTTACCTTTACCCTGCCATGACAAAATTGTACTTCCATGCAAGTTTTTAACTATATGGTATGCTCTTTACATATTAGAATTTTCACATTTTTTCCCTGTTACACCTTCAGTTAAGAAGGTTTAATATTCACCCATTGCCTGAAACTGTGCATCACATTCAGGGTTGTGGGAGGGTCTGGGGCCTATCCTGCAGGCAGAGAATAAACCAGGATGGGGCACCAACCCATCACAGGGCACACACACACAATTTGGCAGCTCCAGTCAGACTCGGCATGTTTTTGGGCTATGAGAGGAAATGAGAGTACATGCAGGAAACCCCCTGACAACATGAGGAGAACATGCAAATCTCACACACTGAATCCTGATAGAGTTGAACCCCGATCACAGAAGTGTGAAGTAACAGCACTAACCACTGCACCATCATGTCACCCCAAGTTTATGATCATTATTATTATTATATAATAATAATATTTGTATTTGGATAGAAAAACAAATATGATTTGTAAGGTTCAGATGTGACAGAACTTGAATTTGATAGGGAAAGCAAGTAAGGCAGAGGATTGTAAAAAAAATTCCATTATATTTTTTATATAATACACTTCATATTTTCATTCTGTGCCGATGTTCCCTCAAAGCAGGAGTTCAGGGATTTTCATACGATGTGCTGAGATGCAGTAGACAGTGCAGACAAACAGAACAAGTGAAAAACTTAAGCCAGTGCACTGATTACCTTTGGTGACTTACAAACATTAAATAGACCAAAGGTAGACTGATATCGGACAGAGGGAATGATGACCTTTATGCTGCTTCCTGTAGGAATGTGACACATCGCGGAACCACAAATAAAATGAAATATCCATTTCCATCTACATAACCTTCCACCCACTTAAACTATATACAGGAATAAGAGAAGAAGAGGCTGTATTGCAGTGAGAGTCACATTCACTGCAGGGCAGTACTTGATGCACAAGTAAATTAACATCATCCGATGATGACGGTGAAAGCTGTCGACTGGGGGGAGGAGGGGTGGTGACGGTAGTGGAGGACCCTGTGCTTCCGTCTGGGAAACCCTGTGCATTAAAATAGAAGCCAAGCATAGACCTTATCAGGTCTCACACTAACATGAGTATCTTGGGACCCAGTCCACGTGATACACTGCTCAAGGTCAGTGTTCTGGCCTTGATGCTAAACATGAGGATTGGGGCTGAGCCATTTCTGACAATCTATCTACTAATGTCTCAATACAAAGCAAAGCTTTCCATTTATTTCTATGCCCATTGCATGTCTATCTTTGTACTTCATCATACAATAAAAAAGCAAAATTCAAATTGATCAGGCAGCAGAAACAGTATATGTGTCCCGATTAATCATTTTAACATAAAGTTGTAAATAATCACATTGCACTCTACTGAGAGTGGAAGAGAGAGGGTAATCTCTTTGGTTGAACTTAACACAGAGCTTTGTTTTTTACCTCAAAAACCACCACAGACGTCAGTTTTCATCTTGCATTCCTCTGGAGTGTATTCTGGCTGGCAGCAAGCAGGCAGATTTTTTCTAGGAGATTTAACTTGCCTTTTTGCCCCAGGGAGACAACATTCAAAGTCATTAACTGCAAGACAGTTAAACAAAACTAGATAAAGGTTATTCTACCATGTATAAGCATTTTATAGCCATCCATCCATTATCTGTCACTTATACAGAAACATGATGCCGCTCATCTGGGGCTCGGTCTAAGCAGGGATGCCCAGACCTCCCTCTCCCCAGCCACCTCCTCCAGCTCCTCCGGGGGGATACCAAGGAGCTCCCAGGCCAGCCGAGATACATAATCTCTCCAGCGTGTCCTGGGTCTGCCCCGGGGCCTCCTCCCAAGGGAAGCGTCCAGGAGGCAACCTAGATCCTAGATCGATGCCTGAACCACCTCAGTTGGCTCCTTTCAAGTAAGGGCAATAAGGCTGTCGTTTCCTCCTGCCCACCAGCTGGGGTCCCCTCTTCTCCTGGGCTATTTTTCAATAAAGAAACACAATAAATGGCCGATGCTCATATGCCTACTCTTGCCTGTGTGGTTTTATTTATCTTGACCCTGCCATGGCAAAATTTTATTTCCATACAGACTCCAGTTTTTATGTGCAGTTCTATGCTCTTTATGTATATGAATTTTCACATTCTTTTTCTTTTTTTTTCTGTTACATTTGCATCTTGTACATACCTTCATAATGCATTATAATGCATTCATAAAGTATTATAAAGTTGCCTATAATGCAGTATAAAGCATCTTGCTGACACTGCACAGATCCGTCGATCTCCTGCTCTCTTCTTCCTTCACTTGTGAGCAAGACCCCGAGATACTTAAATGCCTCCACCTGAGGCAGTACCCCATCCCCCACCAGGAGAGGGCAATCAACCCATTTCCGTTCAAGAACCATGGCCTCAGACTTGGAGGTGCTGATCCTCATCCTGGCCGCTTCACACTCAGCTTCAAACTGCGGCAGTGCATAGTGCAAGTCATAGCCCGATAATGCCAACAGGACCACATCACCTGCAGAAAACAAAGATACGATCCTGAGGCCCCTGAACCGGACCCCCTCCGCCCGTTGGCTACGTATATAAATTCGCTCCATAAAAGTTATGGACACAATCGGGCAGCTGTGGCAGAGTCCAACACCCACCGGGAATGAGTCTGACTTACTGCTGGCAATGCGAACCAAGCTGTCGCTCCCTTTGTACAGGGATCTGATGGCCCACAACAGCGGCCCCCGTACCCTGTACTACTAAAGCACCCCCCACAGGGACATGATCGTTTACCATTTCCAGGTCCACAAAACACATGACTGGTTGGCAAACTCCCATAAACCCTCCAATATCCTTGTGAGGGTAAAGAGCTGGTCCAGTGTTCCACAACCAGGACGGAATCTGCATTGTTCCTCCTGGATCCGAGGTTTGACCAACGGATGGACCCTCCTCTCCAGTACCCCAGCATAGACCTTCCCAGGGAGGCTGAGGAGTGTGTAGGATCACACACGCACATACGACAGAGCTCTGATTCCAGGCGGCTTGAGACAAGGCCTACCCTGGTATGAGAGGTACTCTTGGCCTCGGCATAAAAGAGGGGTTAGTGACAACACACACACACACACAGATAATAAGGGAGGCCTGCATTCCAACTTTTATGGCCCAAAGATTTAGGGACCTACAAACGCCGCGCTTCCCTGAGTGCCATCATCCCGTCAGCTCATGAGCCTCTGAAACCCCCCCAACTTCCTTTCATTCTAACACCTAAGTTGTTCTGTTACAACTTCAGGGTCGTGTTTCCACAAACTGTGCTTGCTTTGCAGAACAGTATTTCCCTTTTTAAGGTTACTCATTTAAAACTGGTCATTGCATTTCCATAATTACATTCTGTCTGTTTCTATTCCGTTATTTCGTGTTTGTTGTTTGTGTTAGGTGTAATGTCTGTCTTATGTTAGTTGTAGCGTTTATTGACTTTGCACACCGCAGATTCAAAATTTCATTATTCAAAGGTGTCTTTTTAATTTCAGTATAACCTTCATACACGAAACAAAACCTAAGCTTCACCCAGAAACTGTTATAACAGTGATAACTTAGCGCCACCCATCGGTGGCTATGAACCCATCGTAACAGTAGGGAGGTCTCATTTTAATGCATGTTTTGCTTTCCATAATGTTGTTAAACGGCAATTGCAATGAAATGAAACTGAATTACTGAAAAAATTAACAACCCTCCACCTATCTCTGCAGGTAGCACCGTGCACAAATCTGTACAAGTCCATTGTTAAGCACATATGCAGAGATGCATGCACTACAGCAGCGGTTCTCAACGTTTCTGCACTGCGACCCAATTTTTTACTATGCCAGCTCAGTTGTGACCCTATATCAGTTATAGATTTAAACTAACGCTATGATCAAGTGTACAGTGTGCTCTGCAATTTATGCCAATGTTTATTGCACAAATCTGATTGGATGTGCCAGTGAATTTTAAATTAAGCATCTGTGGTTTGGCTACTTGGATTGGGTGAGTGTTCAGTAGTTTCGTGTTAAGCAGTTGTAGAGTCACGGCCCATTTATATAGGTTAATTCTAGGACTGGGGCTGGGAAATTTGATCGTGGATCAGCATAGAAGCTTGCTGGTTGTAAAATGCTTTCATTCCCAACTCTGCCTCATGACTTTCAAAACATGCCAAATTTGGGTCACGACCCACAGGTTGAGAATCGCTGCAGTACAGGAAATGAACAGATTTAAACTAAGTGCGTATTTAGGCTGTAAGAGGAAATCGAAGTACCCAGAGGAACTCCATGCAACACAGGGAGGACAGGCAATCTTTTTGCTTAGAGCCAAGGTGGGATTCAGGCTATCTGCTGTTGGAGGTATAAGGATACGTGCATGAATTCCTCTAGGGATCAAATTCAACATGTATATTGTTATGTTACAAAAAAATTATCGTGCAGAGAGCATGATAGTTCACTGGGAAGTCTCGCATCGTTGGAACAAAGTTCCAGGCCACCACTCATGGACCTTTAACAGGATTTTAATTTTTTTTAAGTTAAAACAGATGGAATATAATCAAATCCATGGAATAGTAACAGGCTTTGATATCTCAATACCCTCTCTGCAGCAGCTCAGTTTAGAGCAATGATTTCCCAATGTTTCCCAACTCAGTCCTCGAGCAACCCCGGACATGGTTTTGCTCCCTCCCAGCTCCCAGCCAATCAGGAACACCAAATATCTGGTACAGGGTAGCTGGGAGCTGAGAGGAAGCAGAAACGTGGACTGTCCGGGGTTCCCCAAGGACTCTTTTGGGAAACACTGGCTTAATGAATGAAGTAATTCCTGGGTGTATTACATCTTCTGACCATCTATAACATTCAGTCAATCTGGCAAAAGAAATGAGGTTCAGATGAAAGTTTCACTTTTAACATTTAAGGCTGTCCTAAGAAAATACTATTACAGTCCATTATTGCAACACACACAAACCTTTTCTCATATCTTTGTGGGGACCGTCCATTAATTTCTATGGGCAAAAACCCCTGATCCCAACTCTGATAACCCTAACCCCCACCCAGCCCTAACCTTAACCATAAGTAACCAAACAAAATGCAAGTCTTTGGAATTACTCCTTCGGACTCTCCCCTCTGGCAGAAGGTTGCGGTCCATTGGGACCAAAACATCACGCCATAGGGACAGTTTCTTCTCCACCGCGGCCCGCCTCGTCAATAAGGCCAGGGACATTCGCTCAAATACTATTTCCCCATCCTAGTACAAGCATGCTCTCTCTGAAATATGTACGTATTTCCAAATTCCTTGTATGTGTGAATGTACTTGGCAATAAACTCTATTCTGATTCTGATTATTAGTTTTTTTATTCCAGTCACAAATTTTGATAAAATTGAATTTCCCCTTGGGGGAACCGAAAAATGTAATGTATACACCCACCCACACACACACAACCACATCAGATCACATTGGAAAATATTGAAACAACATGGTATAGACACTTTTGTAATCAGCAGTAATTATGAATTTTTCTTACAGTGCTGACACTCATCTCCATGGAAAAAAATTAAGTTATTAAAAAAAATTAAACCAGACAAATTCATAAAGACAGAATGTTGGTCCTAGGGTCTAGGTCACGGTTTCACACCAAGGATGGCATCAAGGAAGTTCCCAGTGTGTTTGATGCTGACTTGAGTAAATCCATATTTCTGCAGCAGAAGACTGTACTCAGCAGCACTCCTCTGTACTCCCTGAGTCATAGTCAGGGCTTGCAAGATCCCGCTGCTTTGTCCTCTCGTACCTTCATCCAGGAAGATCTCCGAAAGCAGCACTCCACAGCCTGGGTGTTTTAAACAGAGGCAAGTTTGTTTTGATTCACACCTTTTACTGACCACCTTAAAACACTGCAGAAATTCCTATTAAACGTAAATAAAAACAGAATATATATAGAATTTCTCAACCCAGTACTCAGAGACCCCCAGGGGCTCCACATTTTTGCTCCCTAACCGGGAGCTGGGAGGGAGCAAAAAATGTGGACCGTCTGGTGGTCCCTGAGTACCGGGCTGAGAAACACAGGCTAACTGTCAAACTTAATAATTTACCAGATAACTCTATTTCTTTAGTTTCTCCTATAACATAAAACATAGTTACTCTGGTGATGTTAAAAATATTGTCAATCACACCACATTTATTAAATTTCAGCAAGGGACAGCATGGTGGCTTGGGGGGGGGGGCATTGTCATTAAATTGCCCTAATGTATTGGTGCTTTTCCACTGGCATACCAGAACAGACCCATACCCAAACCATACCATGAAGAGAGACTAATTCCAGCTCGGTTCCAGCTCACTTCGATTTTCCACTGCGGCGTCAGTTCAGTTGCGGATATCAAGACAGAGCGACAGTGATGTAAAACTGAAGGGACGCATATATACTGTCCACACGGTGTACAGCATGATTTATAATGTGCATTTTTTTTTTGTTTTTTACTGCGCTAATTCTGAGATAATCGCAGTGTTATGTTAGCATTGATGCTAGCGGAATTGGCATTCGCTTGAGTAAATTTGCATTATGAATCTATTCCGTTCAGCTGTTCTATAGTACTTTTTTAAGTAGGAGATTGAAATTTTTCAAGTTCTGAGTTACTGGGAATGCATTAATACATCACGATGCGCGAAACTACTAATTATTAATAATATATAGAATATGCCATTTTTTTTTCCTTCAGATAATCCATGCGTATCGACACAGATGATGGTGATGCAACCAGCTGAGTTTGGTTACGCTCGTGTAGGGCTTGGTTCCTGGTGGCAATGGAAAAGCACCATAGGAGTGAGAATGTGTGTGTGTGTGTGTGTGTGCACATGTGAGAAAAATCGCTGCTTAACATTCTGAAGTGTTGATGTAGAATTTTAAAGCTGTACAACTATTTTGTTTCCGAGCAGCACAATAGCTAATCAGCCCACCAGGAATACTGCAGAGTCTCCCAATTGGCCACTACGGGCAAGGTGTGTAACCTTTAATGGCCTAGTCTCCCATACAAGGTGCATCCCCATGCTGCCTTCAATAGGCACCACGACCCTGACCAGGATATGCATTTGGAAGACAGATATGCCCATATCTCATGGTTCTGTTAAGCATCCGGCACAGAGCAAGACTTAACTGCTTTTGTTTCAAACCAGAGAAAAAGTTAGTGTTTTTCAAATATTTACTGAAATCCACTGCTCTGAGGAAAATTAATAAATATTTCTAGCAACATTATTTTACAAGACTCCAGTAGATAATGTCTCATTTAACCAATCACAGAATGAAAACTCAAAATGGCCAGACTAATGCAGTCTCTCATCTTGATGGTGTTTGATTAGCCAATAGTCTCCACAGACTGTTAGACTGTTATAATTAACATTAATGGAAACAAATTCTTGTGAAATGTTTCATTTTGCACAGTTCCTGAGGTTTTACCTATGAGCATTTACCTGGTTTGCAGATCTCCGACAGTTTACTCAATAAAGCATGTACTTTCTCAGCGGGCAAATGATGAAGAATTCTTGCTAAAATATAAAGATCGGCCTTTGGGAGGTCATCGCTGAAGAAATCTCCTATTTCACAAGAAAGAATCAGTGTCCTTTTATTTATGTGAAAGGCACACAGTCCGAAATTTACATTTGTACAGACTTGGGGGACCTCAAACTCACCAGCAACAAATGTGACCCTGCTGAGGTCCTGGCCACGAGGATGGAAGTGAGCGCACATCTCGACAACAGCAGGCAAATCGAAGACAATCACTGACAAGGCTGGGTGGACTTTAGAGAACGCAAAGGCCATGGCTCCAGTGCATCCTGGGGGGCGAATTCCACAGGTCATTCAAATTCAAACAATAACTTTTATTTCTAGACTAGACACAACTACAAAAAAGTGAGGCACCTCCTAAATCACAAGCGGTTCTGAAGCTGGAAAGGTCGAACGCAGTCGCCACGTGGCTCCCGGCCACCTTGGCCATGCTGTGCATGGCTTTCATAAACTGCAGCTGTTTTTCCCTGTGGTTGCAGCAGGCATGCTGGGAAACAAAGACACGCTTACATGAATTTATAAACACATATGAGACCTGTTGCAAAAAAAAAAAAAAGTGATACCACAATAGGTACAGAAATCCAATGAAACGACTGATCACCTTTGAGGGTTCCTCGCACCTCTTCCCAAAAGCATGGTCATGCTGACTGACCCCCTCCAGAACACTTTGTTCCAGGTGGGTGAAGAGGGGCCAGACCCTCTCATCGCAGTAGAGAATGTATTCATTCAGAGCGAGCTCACTAGTGGACACGAGGTAGCGGCTTGTCTGCTCCGTGTTTCTGTAAGCTTTGGGTGTAACACAAAGGACATTATACATTTTAAGCTGCATTCCCTCTATCCCCACCTGTTCATTACCCATTTGTAATGTGGAGCCCATTATAAGCTATATCTACAGTATACAGCTTTTCCACCCATTCATCCATTATCTGTAAATGCTCATCCTATTCAGGGTCATGGGGGGTCGGTAGCCTAAGGGCACAAGGCAGAGAATAATCCAGGACACAGGCCCATACCAGTCACTGACACACGCACATCTGTGGGCAATCTGGTAACTCCAATTAGCCTCAGCATGGGGTGGGGGGGGAGACCCGGAGTACCTGGAGGAAACCCCACGACGACATGGGAAGAGCATGCAAACTCCACACGCATGGAGCCATGGCAGAGACTCAAACCCCAGTCCCAAAGGTGAGAGCCCTCAGAGCTAACCACCGTGCTAGCCCATGTTTTTGAGTCAACTTATATAAAGCAAAATATCAGCCCAATTGTTGGACACACATGAATAACAAGAACATCATCAACAAAAATATAAGCCAGAAATACTTGTCACTCAATGGTAAACACAGAAAATGCCACGTGTGCAGGTTTCATGTTCTACTTGTGGGTTTCCTCCCCAGGTGAGACGCGGTACAGGGATCTTACCTATAGTGTCTCCTAGCTTCAGCTTCTCCAGAAGACCGAGGGAAACAACAGCATCCAGCAAGCGCTCAGTGCCCATCAAAGATCCAGAAATGTTCCCTGCTACCTGTGTGGCACTTAGGTACTCTGCAGAGGCCAGCAAGTCAAACACTTTTAGCTTACAAGCTGTGAACAGAGCCTGAAACAATAATAAACACAATTTACTTTATGCGTAACAAAATGTGTCAACACACACCAATATGGATATTCACGTCACATAGACGATTTGGTAACACTTTACTTGAGGGGGCACAAGTAACTTAGTAACTCAGTTACTACTCAAGTACAAATCATGAACAAATATAGTAAAGGCTTGAAATGTTATGATTGATTAACTGATGGGATCAGTACGTAAGTAACAGTTAGTTTCTGGCTAATTAATACATTAAGTTAGAGTGCACTATTACATTATTTGCACCCGCTCAAGTAAAGTGCCACGTAAGATTTTTCAGCTAAGTATAATTTTGGATACTGTAAGGCAAGTCTTCCACCAACAAGTATGGTATGTGTTTGTAAAATATAATGTGATATAAAGAATTATAGTTCCATTTTGCTTGGTGGTGCACCGTGTTTTTGGACATTTTGTTTTTGTTAAAGGCAACTTGAGTAAAGTGCAAAAGCATGCAATTCCTCTACCTTCCTACGAATAGCCCAAGTCTAAGAACTAAATACCTTTGAAGCTTTGAATCCATCAAGCAGATCAGCAATCCTGTGCGGAAACTCAAATCTGTCACGTGACCCACATTGGGCGACATTTCGTTTGCGTACGGCACTGCTGTGATCTTCGGGAATCTCGCCTGCCATCCCTTCAGCCGCTAAAGTGCATCTTCTGTCTGCAGTGTCACTGCTGGGGCTGTTAAAGATTTTATCCAACTCCTTGCAGAAGTGATTGAGGGGAAAGCCCACCACATTCAGGAAGTCCCCCTGTACATGTTCCACCAACATCCCCCCCAGGGCCTGGATCCCATAACCTCCAGCTTTGTCCCTGTTGGAAGCAAAAGCATTAGCAGTTAATGCTGCATACTTTTGAACTCGCAGCTCAAAGCAGACAGTATGCAACTCACTCCTACTTTACAACTTTTTGGGACAATCGAAATGTAACTTTGTAATACAACCACTATGAGTAGGAATATAAAATTTAAAAGACATTTTTTAAATTTAAAATTACATAAAAAGACAATCAGTTTTGCCTTTGACTTTGAAAAGGAATATTCCATATACACTACAAAAAACCCACAGAAGTCTGTTATACTGAAGCCTAAATTACTCAAAAAAAGTAATATGACTCTACAAATGTGACCTAAGTAACAAATGAAATTTGGACTTACATTGGCTCTCCACTATGTATATATTCCCATAGCATCTCTTCAGACAAGTCTGCAAACTTTACCTTAGTCTCTTCATAAAAATCCACCACTTTGTACTCAATTTCCTGATCTGCAAGATGTCAAAATTTACATATATTAACAAACATGGAGTCCAGGCAGACAAGATTCCATGCAGTACTGCAAAATATTCATGGCAAGCGATATTGTCAAGAAATGTGGCAGCGAGAACCATACAGCAGCAGGTCAGAGAAGGAGAATATAACTGCGGTCAAGGTCATCCTGATCTGACCAAGACAGAGAGCTGTAGTCTGGCCAGATAACGCTGGCCTTATGAAGCTACTTGGATGATGTCACAAGAAAGATCAAGGTAATGGGGGGAGTCAGGACTGGGGAAGAATTATAAAACAACAAAGCAGTCAGCCAGTGACTGATGGACAACTAACGAGGGAATGTTTTACAGAGCGATAGAGTAGAGTGACCCAGACTACAGACATATTTTGTCAGGCTTCAATATGACCTTGGCTATATAAGCAGTACTGTTGGCACCAATAGGAGGCCTTGCTCAAGCTGGTGGAGATGCAGCTGATTCACTTTGTGAAGCCAGGAGGGGTTTCATAAGACACCAACAAAGATCATCACTGCCTCAAGGCCTGTCACGGACATAATAAACGATCTTAATGGGAAGAAGGAACAGAGGAGGCCAATGAGAGGGAGAAGCAGATGAACACTGAGCTGATTGGCTGCTGAGGCTTTATGGGCTCATCTACTTGGCCTCTATTGAAGGATGCGGATATCAGGAGGGGGGAAGGAGCAGGCCGACAATGCTGAGAAACGCAGCCTCTGGCTATGACTTTTCACAGCCAAAAGGGAGGATGAAGAATATTTATTTAGCAGATGCTTTTATCCAAAGCGATGCAGATTTTTTTTTGAGATTACAGGGTCAGCAATATTTTTTTTTTTGGTGGAGGGGGGGCTTGCTCAGGGGCCCTATGGTGAAATCAGCTGGCTGACTCTGGGATTTAAACCGATGACCTTCTGATCAAAGTCACAGTATCCAAACCAGCTGAGCCACTCAGTGCCCCCTAGAGTTACAGACCTCTAGTGTTATGAGGTGTGGTGTAGTGGACGGTGTGATGGTACAACAGGAAACTCCGGCTGTGGTGACGAAGAAAGAGCACCGGCAGAGAGAAAGGATCCTGAAAGCAGGTGCAGGGGGTGACGGGGGGGGGGGGTTATACCAGACCACTCCGCTACCATCAAGATTGGGATCAAAAGGGCAAAATATTAATGAAGGCCTGCCTAGCAGGTGAGACCCTTACCAGGGTGTTCAACTCAAAATATCTGCAGCTGGGTAATTCTAAGACATTTTTAAGAGCATCCGTCACTTCAGGTACGTTTAGGGACCAAGAGTATGCATTGCATTCCTTCAATTTATGGCACCTGAACTTCACGAGAAACATTTTTTCCATTTCACACTGACTTACCTTCTTTCTCATGGCACAGAATAATTGCCACACCTGTATACACACTGTGTTCTTTACCATTCAACCTGAAATACAGGGAATTCATCTGTAAATTGTAATATGAGACACAGAAAATACTTTTTAAATGTACAGCCATGTTTTCACATCTTATTTCACCATTTAAGACACCTGGCAGTAAATAACACCATTCCAGTAACAGGTCATGACTGCAGCATATGGGAGAAGTTACATACTGGGCTTAAGATGAGTTTCTCGATGTCTCTTAACTTAACGACCCTATCAATGATAAAATACTTAAATTTTTCTCTCCAGTGTTGAAACCTCTTGGCTACCAACACCTAACTCATTTACAAAAAACAAATGTTATGTTTGTCTTCATGAAATGTATTAGTTTGCAAAAAAACACAGTATAGTATAAAATACGAACCTAGAAAGTATCCTGTATGCATCCTGCTTGTCAACAGGCTTTTCAAGAATCAGACCACCAACTGTCTGGGGAAAGCTACGAATTAGATTAGTGTGCAGAATTTCTATTTGCAATATCCCCAATATCTCACACAGTGCAGTGTCTGCTTACCACTATGGTGTCTGCTCCAATTACAATATCAGGAGTCTTCAAGTGCTTCTAAATTACACAGTAAAAATCAGAAAACATAAAAGCACAAGTCATAACTGTAAATTCAGATTCTTCAATCTACCGTTTCAGCTGCAGAGCTGTGTCATGAGAAACTGTCAGGTATATTTTAATGTACAAAACTTTTTAAAGCATTGAAAAACTTTTTTTGCATGTGTTATCATTGCAAGGGATCAGAGAAACAAATGATTACAAAAGGATTTACATCAATATATAAACAAAACACAAACACACACACACACACATACTCAGTGGCCAATTCATTAGATGTACATGCTTGCGAATGCAAACAGTTTTCTCCTACAAACAGCAAAACATATGATTGCAACTGAATACATACAGCATGCAGATTGGGTCAAGAGAATCACTTACTGTCTGACTACACATTATAACAATTAAGATGTCAAATGCAAGCAATTTTGTGTGATTGTATACATGGTACACAAAAACAGCCATGCTCCCTTGATTTTCACACCGTACGGTGTCTAGGGTTTACAAAGAATTGAGTAATGAACAAAAGACCATCCAGTCAATGGCACTGGCCACAAACATCTTGTTCATGAGAGATCGGTTGTGTCTTGTGGTCTTCTCTGAATGCACAAGCTACCCACCCCTGAAGTGGTTTTGGAAGAAAAAGAGAATCAAGGTATACCAAAAGTGGCCACTGAGTATACACATAAAAAAATATTTGTAAACAAATGGTGATGAACAACAGATATGGATTTGTGCCAGAAGACATTGCAAAGACTTCACTAACAAATGGCATCCGCTTGGCAACCTCCAGAGCCTTCTGCTTCGCGGTCTCCACGGCATACTCATATGGTTTTTTGAACAGTGCTTTATCCAAGTTCTCCTTAAACCATGATGGGACAACTTCAAACCGCATTCCCTGTAACAACAAATGATGAAGGGGTAACATTTTTCATGACGGGGCACAAATAATACAGTATTATGCTATTACTTATGCATTAATTAACCGCAAACTAAGTCTTAGTTACATACTAATCATAAGTTAGTTCATCATTAATGAATCGTGACGTATGTTTTACCTCAAACAATTACTATATTTGTTACTTTATCTCTAAATTCCGTAAACTTTTGAGTACTATTCAAGGAACAAATCATGAATAACACAAGTTAAATACTGATCTTATGCTTGTGCATCATTAATGAACTGTAACGCATCTTTTATCTGTAGTAGCGACTATATTTGTTCATGATTTGTACTTCAGTAGCAACTGAGCTATTATTACTAAATATGTGTGCCCAGTCAAGTAAAGTGTTACTGATGTACGGAAAAGGATACATTTCAACATTAAGATTTTGGGTATTTGGCAACAAGAGAGAAAGAAGAGGAATTCTTACCACATTGGTCAGAATTTCCAGTCTCCTTGGAGAAGCACTTGCTAGGACTACAAGTTTGCCACTCAATTTGGATATGACTGGATTCAAAACCATAGTGAGTTTATGACTGTCCTCCGATTTGAAGGTGCAAACTTTGCTGTCAGGAACGGTACTACAGATAAATTCTTGAAAAGCTGGTTAATGCTTATAGCTAGGGAACTGTATCAGTTTTTATTTTAATTTTAACAAAACTGTGCTACCGTTGCTATCATATAAAAATTAGATGTAAATAACGTTACGCAAGAAAACAGAATGCTTAACTACTTAACTTTCACTTTCAAACACCAAACTTCGCCTCCTAACCACTTACACAAGTAAACATGCAGGAAAATACCGCACTCGACCGGGTGACGTGAGCATTTTCAATTAGTGCTTCCGGTTCAGTTACAGTTGTGTTTCAAAATAAAAGTACGGGTCATGCATACATGCATTATATGCGTAGGTAAGTAGTACTATTTACGGAATAGTGTGGCGTAAACGTGTTGTCAATATGGAATATGGAATATGGAAATGGAACAATATGGAAAAGGAAGTCCAGGTTTGATATATGACGCAGTGGTTTTTTTTTTATATCTAAAATGGTACAGTGAAAGTTTTGTCTAGAAATAGCCTAGTTAGTCTAGAAATTCAGAGTTTCACGTCGTCTCGGGTTTTTAAAACATACAATTTTGGCAGTAAATATGTTTACTGTTTACCTCAGCCTGATGACGTAGGCCTATCTCATTGAAATTTCTATTCGATTCTTGTAATAAAATATGATTTTCGGTAGAAATCAATAATAAGACAGTGGGAAAGGTCAGGGTGGGAAATATTTGCGAAAATATTGCGAGGGAATACAAAACTATATATATTCAAAAAATATTTTCTCACCCTCACCTTTTAGGGGCTCCGTAGTAATTTATCATTAATCTTGAACAAATATAGATGACAAGAGGTTTCCAGAGCTATCGATATTTATTGTTTTGTGCTGACAAAATTTAAAGGACAAAATTTACATACATGTCACCTGGATATAACTAATTATCCTGCACATGCGCAGTCAACGCGCAAGGTTTCCACTAGGCAAAAACCTGGGCTACACGCGCACCGCAGGCACCCCCTGATAACCAATTTACGTCACGCCCCCTCATCCGCTTTTGAAAGCGCATGCGAATAAGGGAAGTACGAATTGGAGTTAGGGGCGGCATGGTGGTGCAGTGGTTAGCACTGTTGCTTCGCACCTCTGGGACCTGGGTTTGAGTGTCCGCCTGGGTCCCATGTGTGTGGAGTTTGCATGTTCTCCCCGTGTCGTCGTGGGGTTTCCTCCGGGTACTCCGGTTTCCCCCCATGCTGTGAGTGAATGGTGTGCGAGTGTGTCCTGCAATGGGCTAGCCCCCCATCCAGGGTTGTTCCCTACCTCGTGCCCGTTGCTTCCGGGATAGGCTCCGGACCCCCCACGACCCAGTAGGATAAGCGGGTTGGACGATCGTTGGATGGAATTGACCCTATTGGCAAAGCGCCGATAGCTTGACCGCAGTTAATGGGAAAGTCGTAAACTTTTTACTTCATCTTATGATGATCTGAGATCTGAGATCTTGAAAAGCGCTATATGAATAAAACATATAATAATAATAATTGTAAGTGTATCAAAATAAACTACGATATACAAGAACCACAACATGTATCAAAATAAATTACTGTATTTCTGTACTTTAAAAATACAAAACTGTAATACTTTTATATAATACTTAGATATATACTTTTTATATATACTTTTTAATATAATACTTTTCCAAGGGAGCATAAAATCACTTATACCCTTCTCTTCACCAGTACTCTGACTCAGTTGTTCAGTGGAAACTGTACATTTCTTTGCCTAATGAGGCATGCCATAAATCTGACATGTCCAGACAGTCAACAAATATTCTTGGCTGCCTTTTACATCCTAGATGCTCAAATATCCCTGTGATCATCCAGATGAAGGTTAGTTTTAAAGTAACCAACAGTTTAATGTTTAACTGACAGCTTGGTAATATCTCATAATTGTTTAATAATTTACTTACTTGGTGTTCGGTAACGAAGACCCTACTTTGCATCAGCAGACTCAACAACAAACAAAGCATTCATAAGCAGACAGCACATAGCACCATTATACGTAGAAATGAGTTTCTATGTAATTAATTAACCATTCAATTGTTTATCATAAATATAATAAATTATGTGTCAGTCACTGATGCAATGATATGCAAATACATAATCCTACTAAACAGCTACTTCAACTAGGGTACAATCCAATTATTTTGTAATCAATAATTTAGTTATGAACGACTGGAAATTTGAAAGTTGAAAACAAACATTTTAGCACATAATCAACAATTATAAAATGATCACATAAAATGTTTTTATTTTAAATATACTGAGAAATTAGCAAATGAACTTGTCAAGGAGTACAAAACCAACTCTAACCACTGAACTTATCGATTGCTGCAAAAAATGGGTTTTGTACATATTTACAGTCTAGTAAAAGCATTGGCTGAAACACCAATAAAGCTAAACAGAGAATATTTAAATCAGGTATTCCAGAACTGTTCAAAAGTTCTATTAAAATTCATGCAAACTTCTCTGAGTGCAGGTGATAGAGTAAGTGTGTGAATTGAAAGACTTGTCTGCTTGATATAAGCCACTATCTTGTGTAAGTAGGCACCATTCAGAGGCTGCGGGCTTTGAATTGCCGTTTTAAAGATGCATGCATCATCGCATAGACATCTCAAGGAAAGTATTTTACAGTATATATAGACTACAAAAATAGAAAGCACTTAAGTATGTTGATACAAAATGTTAAGCAATTTTCATCAGCTCTATCAAGTTAAAATTTTAAATTCATGTATCATAAATACTGCCCATCCCTACTAGTTCCTAAGAAATGATAACCAGCTTTAAATGACTATTGACCAGTGCCTTTGCCATCACCCATCATGAAGAAAAAACTCACTCACAACTTGTGTGGACAATGCTAGTAACTCAACTCCACTCCAGTTAATGTGAACAGGATGCATACAATACCATGTGCGTTCAAACCAAACCTAGCTGTGACACTGCGACATTCATTGCTGTTCTACTTAATATGCTTGTTTGCAGTTTTTGAAATGACTTCTGCGGTTTTGCAAGGCAGCGAGTTCTACATAGAATTACATTGCTAACTGAGTCAAACGTATCTAAACCACAAGGTTTTTCAAGCCAGAACATGTCTGCATTGATTTCAAGCATTGATTTTATGCACAGATTTATTGATAGAGTATCTGTGCACTTCACAGAAATACAGTCATTTTGTTATTGTCACACAAATTCCTTTATATTTATAAAATACAGGATTTTTTGTTTTATCTACCTGTAAACCATATGACACATCAGTACAATTCATATTACAGGAACTTTAACAATGCTTACTGTTACAGTAAATTGTGTGATCATCAGAAAACAGTTTAAATGTGGGAAAGAACCTAAATAGAATTTACATACTTTTGCATTAAAAAAGAAAAAAAGATAACAGCACAAATAAAGGAACATCATCCAATAACCTTAAAGCGACATATTAGGCCTACTTTCAGTGTGTATAATGTTTATATACTGGTCAAGTGGAAATGATATCCGCTGGGACACAGCAGCCTATATCGTAACTCAGCAGTATTAAAATAATATTGCATATTAAGCAGTATTTACTGAAATCCACAAATGACACTGATTTTTCACAACATTTATTTCACTTTCAGCAACTTGCACGGGCACTCGAGCATATCTTGTGTAGCTTGCCTGTTTTGTAAACACTGAACTCCCCAAGCATGCATTAAATAGTATGATATGTTAGGAATTATTCTGTTCAGAATTCCGCAAAAATAAAACATCTAAATTCTACATACCTGTTGTATGAGTTTGCATGAAAAGTAGAAGGCATAGATACTAGTTTTTGAAAGGAGCTGCAGGTGGTAATGAGATGCAGAATTCATCAATTAAAATGAAAACCAAATCAAATTGTTTCTGTATATGATAACTATTATTCATTTGAAGAGGGGTTTGAGTTTCCATCTAAGATGATTTTGTACAACTGGAATTTCTCACTATTATTTATTTAGCACAACTATATCAACCTATCTTGAGAAATATAAGCAGGAGAACGATTTGAGAGTGACAGCTTTATTTCAAGAAAAGCGATTGCAAAAGTACTTCCTCTGAAAGTTGGTGCTGATACCCATCCTGATGTAGCCTACCATGTGGTATAATAAATTTGAAAATAAATGCAAAATAATTTCTGCTAAATGTACAGGACAAAAAACTGTGCTGTTAAAAGTGTATAAATAAGTATTGCAAAGGCATCTGGGAGACACATTATTTTATTACATTCTTTCAACAATAACAATTGTTTTACGAAACATGTTTAGAACTGAAAACATTATTTCAGTTTGTGCTTTTTTATTATAACTGATAAAAAAATACAGGCACATACATAGATTTCATTATAAAAACCAAAAGAAATGTTGAAACAGTATTATAAAAAAAAAAGCTTTAAAAATAGTACTGTCTAACTTCCTGAGCTGTATATAAAACTATACACAAACTTTTAGTCATCAGATTTCACATTTTCACAGATTTTGCATTTCACATTCAGTTATAGCTTCCAGTAAGTTACTTAAAGTCATACCGTTAATGAACATACATTTACCACAAAAAAGGTTTCGGGTTTAACACATGCAGAATCTCAGATTTTTTTAAAAGTAATGCTGATGTGCTGTCAGTGACAGCCAGAAATCTGATGATAAGGCTGCATTTTGATTTTTTTTTATTTGAGAATGAACAAAAGCACTAAAATAAAGTAAAAATTTGATGAAACTTACTGGTAAAACTTGGTTAAACTTAGTAACTCAGTCTTAACAACTCAGTTACCAACTTGTCTAATAGAATATCCAAAATTTTAATTATTTATTAATCGGTTGATTTTTAATGCTAATTAAATAATTGCTGACTATTTATCAGAGCGTTGGTATTTGGATGGTTGCTTGACTCAATACGGCAAAAAAGGCCCCACCAGGAATATTTTTCACCATTGCATAGACCACAAGACACAACCGACAAAAATGTTTTCTTTTTTCAAAACACATTTAGTATTACCATAATGTAATACAATATATATACAGTATTATAATATATATATTTATTTTCCATTTTTAAATTGTCGACATAGGAAGATTAAGATCATAATCATCACCATTAGCCTGAGACATGGATCGAGCAGAGAAAATACTTTCTCTGTGTTGGTCTGACATGCAGCTCTGAGTATCCCCACTGCTGTTTACTTTCATTCCCAGAAGCCCCCTCAACTTTCGCCGGAATTCTCTGGAAGCAAGGTAATAAATGAAGGGATCCAAGCAGCTGTTGATGCAGCTTAGTGAAAGAGAGAGCTTGTATTGCATGTAAAAGGAACCATTATAGAACAGCCTCCGAATTATATGAGCCAGGAGAATGATGTTGTTTGGTGCAAAACAAACGATAAACACTAACAACACTAGCACAGCAAGGTGCAGAGATCTTCTCTTTTGGTTACTAACACAGCGCTTGTTGACAAGTGACTTGATGATGCTGACATAGCAGAACACAGTTATTATGAATGGGATCAGAAAGAGAATGACAAACAAGGTAAACAGAAAGACAGCCCAGTCTGTCATTGTAGGAAGCATGTTTCTCTTGAGGACATCGAAACAGGTTGTTATATTGAGGTCAATCACCTCAAAAGTTAGGTCGGTGCTCTCCAGTGGGTACAGAGCAAATAATACAACTGCCCACATAATCACACATCCAGATATTGCATATTCCCTCCTACGCTTCATTTCCCTGAACTGCATGGGCCGAACAATTCCCAGGTAGCGGTCAATGCTAATGGCAGTCATGGTCAGAATAGAACAGTACATATTGGCATAGAACAGAACAGTCATCCCGCTGCACAGTCCAGATCCAAAGTTCCAGTTATATCCATTGCTCTGGTAAATGATCTGGAATGGCAAGGCACAGCCTACTGCCAGATCAGTGATGGTGAGGTTGATCATGAAGATGATGGACGGGGTCTTGGGCGAAGTGCGGAATGCCAGTAACCACAAAGAGAGGCCGTTTCCAGGAAAGTTGATCAACGTGACAATGATATATAATATAGAGACAGCATTACTGGCTGTCTTGTCCTTAAACAAATCCAGCGTGGCGTTGTCAAGCTGAGTGACGTTGTCCAAGGCCATACTTAGTTTTAAACTCAGTCTAGAACAAAATCGCAAGAAAGATATTGAGTATTTTACCATGGAAATATATACGACCAATTTAATTAAGCTATCTTTGTGATTTATATGTGATGCTATAGTCCTATAGTCAAAAGCTGAAACTCTTGCACAACTCAGAACACATTTAGTATACACATGTAGTATAAACAGATATGAAATTCCTATTTGGAATTTGCAAACTGAAAATAAAACAATCCTGTATTATGATAAGGACATGCATGTCCATCTCTCTTATCTGATCTGTTGCAATTACAGCAGGTTTTTGTCGCATATAATGCACAGTTTCATACAATGTAACAGTATGAAACAGCTTGGCATTTACCAAGACTGTGCAAATCCTCATCTTTTGTTACTAACTATCACTTGCATTACAAAGAGAAACAAATTTTCACTCACTGTGCTTTTTTGGTGTTTACTTACGATCTTTACTGCAGTGTTTAATACAAAGTGTTTTTCTTTTTTTGGAAAACTCATGCAGTATCTTCCGGAGCAGAAAAACCACATAAGTGTTACACCCAGTTTTTCATGATGATTCTGCCTATAAGGCTGATATGACGGTGTTTTTTGGTATGACAATGTGCCAAATGATGTGCTAAACTAATTGTCAGACCAAAGTCACTTCAGGAGAACATGATTTCTCATTGTTTCCTAGAAATTGCAGGTGTTTTGGCATGCACAACGACTTGCAAAATTGTCCTTATATGCCACGATTATCTATTGTTTAATTGCATGCAGTTTCTCAGTATAATTGAGAAAACCATCTGGTAATTTGCTGTTTAGTACAAACTATACACTATAAATATACACTTAATGCATTAAAACCTGTTACAGTGGATACTACATTACCTAACCCTATCACTAACTAAATATGTAACCTTCTCTAGGACCACAAACTCAACTTCAGCGGGCCAAATTTTAATCACAAGAAATGCCAAGGGCTCTGGGCTGGGGGGTCGGGTGGGGGTTGTGTGCCATTAAGTATGATAATACCTACATCTATGTTTTTGTAACAGTAATTGTTACACTATATTGTTATGCACATTATTTGTTCGTATTTCCAGAAAGGTCACACCTTGCTTTTTTATTGAAGATTGATTGTTGTTTGCTAGCTGTCTAGCTTTGCGTCAAGAGAGAGGCTTTGTGAGGACAGCAAACTGTCAATAGCTTTACCATTGTAGTATTGTATTGGACGAGGCACGAAACTAGAGGTGCACAACCAACTTTCAAACGCAACTTAACTTATTCACGACCAGATGTGGCGAAGGGCACAAAATGAAGCCTCCCGGACTGGATATTATTGTCATGCATCTAGGTTCTAAACAGGCGTGTAGCCATATATTGAAACAACAGGTCTGAACCCACCTGAAATTATTTTGTAACTGATCACGCATGTAGCCAGGTATTAAAATTAAGAGGTGGAAATCCCCCCCCCCCAGTCAGCAAAATCTATGGAGGGGAACTTTATTGAAACATAATTAACACTTTTAGGTCTGTATACATTTCTCAGAACAGTTTATCCATACAGCACCAGGGCTGTCGCTGAGGGGGGAGGACAGGTATGTTATCCTGGGCCCTGGACTGCAGGGGACCCTGGTCTACAAATCTTCAAAGACACCCTAGTTGACAGGGGCGCCAGAATTCCCTGCTACCCCCCATGAACAGCTCAACAATGTGTTTAAGCTGCAAAAGGCCGTAACCAGCCCAAGGTAATGATTCAGCGAATTAGTCAGTCCCGCTAACATTAAAAATAATTGATCACTATTTAAAGCAAATGATCTAATTCAAATTGCTCAGACATATTGTCAAGATGTCAGTGTAAGTCAAGATGTAATTATGTTCCTGATGCCCACAATTCTGAATGACAGTCATTTCTCACTTCCTCACTGTCACTTATTATTTTCTGGTAGTAACTGATTTTTACATCAAAGGTGCTAGTTCCAACGTTGCAAGGCTCTGCATTACATTTAAACCTCACTGGGAAGAGAAAACACTCGCATGCACGTTTAACTTCTCCAGGTCTGTTGTGCATGTGATGGCTTATACTATGACGACTTGCATGTGTAGTCTTGGGAACAGAACTGTTTCACTGGGAAACTACATAATCCATTCTGATCAAAACTATACAGGCCTGCACTGGCCATCTGGCATTTATAATCCCAGTCCAGCCCTGGGACTTAAGAGCCTGGTAATTATCTGCCACATGAGAACAACTGGACATGATCATTTGCACTAAACCCTTTTGAAATATGTGGGAAACAATGACAAATAATGTTTACTGCTGTGCACAAGTGACTTCATTGCAAACATGCCAAAGTAATCAAAGAAAAAAATGACACAGTCGTTACTAAGCGACTGTAAGATGGTTCTAAGGAATCCATATTCATCTAAATTCATAAAGCACTTAACTTATGTGTTCTTTACAGGATTGTATGAAAGTACAAGCAAAACTCTTACAGCCATGTGAATATTAGTAATGATCACTTTCACTTTAGTGAGTTAGTGTACATACTATAGGCTCTGCTGTTAACTAATTAGCTAGAATCTTCTTGATTTGTTTTTCTTTTAAACAATGGATTTGTATCAGTCTCATAAGATGGGGAAGTTCAGCTTCGTAGAGGACTTTTTCAGTGCTTCAAAAAAACACCTCAAAAAAAAAAAGAAACAAAAGCAAAACTCACTCCCCTTTCATCTCCTCTAGGAAGCCCCTAAAAGCTATTTCTACACAAAAAAAGCGATGAAATTACATGGTAAGAAGTAAAATCCAATGGCATCACAAAAACATTGTTAACTGAAAGGTGAACCCAATACAGTAAATTTGTATCTTTCTGTCTGACACAAGATTTATTATACATTGTTAAGCTCTGCCTGAGACTTAACAGAAAAGTATGATGCCATCTAAATGTATATCAATACATTTTTTGCAGAATCTTGCACAACTAGGCTAAGTCTGAGTTCACGAATGTATGTTTTCCTCATTCTACCTGGTTCTGTGCTTTCTGACTCTCACATATTAGCTCAGGCTTTATGCGGGTGTGATTTTTTTCCACATGATTTATCATGTTACCTTTTTGTATGAAAAAATACTGCAGTCCACACTCTGATTTTTTTAGAATATGCATGAACTTCCATTCAAACTTGAATAAATTCATACCGTTGATTTTTAGATAGCCGCACGGTCAAAATATAGGTTATTGACCAAATAATTTTGACCTGCAATGCACATTTTGGTAAACCCGCTCAGAAAAGCGTGCGTAGTAGGTAGTAGCAATGTAGGATACATAACTTGGGTTCATTTTGCAATATTACGAGTTCATGAACACTATGTACTATAGTTTCCTGAGGTAAAGGGAGCAAGCCGTACTCAGGAAATAGCAATTTATGCACAAACACCACTAATCTGACACAAAGTTACACTACGTTTCTTTATATTAGACTGTGACTACTATAACTGGAGAGTGAAACTGAAAATGGTCACTCATGCCCCCCACAACACAAAAGTGAAAAAACAAAAGCCTTCTTACCACTCTGAGAACCATGTGCTTGTTTAGACTGTGTCAGAGCTGCATGTATTAAGATCAGGAAGTGGTGGTGGGTTTTTTAGTGGCTTTCAGTTAGCAGGTGGACTGGTGCCATCACCACGTGCTCTGATTCTACACTTTCATTGCAAGACTAAATGCAAAACAATCTTTTCTTCCTGTTTTCGTCCTGCATGGAGAAACTAAAAAGTACACTTTTCATAACTGGAAAACATCTTCTTAGTATGTTTTGTTAAAACCTGCATATATCATGCTGTGGCAAGTGTGTGTATGAATGTGTCATTTCTTGGCGAGCTGTCTTGTTTTGTATTGCCTTGTCCCCCATGCATCAATCACTTTCCTTGCCATTGTAGTATACGAATTTAATTTAACTTAAAACTTGAAACAATAAGCAGAAATGGTTCTTCTGTAGCAGTATCCATCGTATCCTTTTTGACAGTGGGCTCTTGGCTAGGCCTCTGTGCCTGTGATTAGACGGTCGCCAGTTTGCCACCAGCTTCAGCAGAATAGTCATGTATCCGTGCCTCAACTCCCAGCTCCGTGGAAACCACTACGGATGGCTGCCCTTCACCGCTATGCTTGCTCTCGCCTACGTATATACCTGTGTCACAGGGAGCAAGATGGGGTAATACAAAAAGACAGTTTCCCCACATGGGATCAACGAAGTGTCATTATTTATAAACAGATACACAGACTTGCAAGAGTAATACGTTACAATTAGGGGTGTATCTGCAGGGGGGCAAGAGGGGGCAGCGCCCCACTCTCCCTCCACTGTAGGTCTCGCCCCCTCCCTCCAGCTCTTCAGTTACTAAAACAGTAATCATAAAAAAGCAATCACCCGTACATCCGCAAGGCTGCTGAAATCAGTGAAACAAATAATACAGGGAGAGAAATCTAACTGTAAACGGAATCTTAGGTCCCTCCCAAGAACTACAGCATGCGCATGGCGTAGTGAGCCGCCGGTGTTCTGTCGAAAAATATTACCTATCGAGGCGTGCTATCAAGCTCTTCTGCGCATGTGCAGTTCCACCGTTTTGGGATTAGGGTTAGGTTTTAGGGGTTAGGGTTAAGGTAAGGGTTTTGAAGTTGAAGTTGAAGTTTATTGTCATGTGTACCAAGTACAGCGTACAGAGCACAATGAAATTCTTACTTGAAACCCCCCCGCAGACAGAACATAAGACAAGATACACACAAGACATAGAAGACAAAGACAAAGTGGTGTAGCAGCAATAAATAATAATAAATAGTCTAAGTTGCATAGTTTGAGTGAGCATAATATACAGTGACTGTGCATAGTGTGGAGTAGTAAGTTGCACAGTAAGGGATTTTACCACAATTACTGATTGTTGAATAGCCTGATGGCACTGGGGTAGAAACTGTTCCTGAGTCGAGTTGTGCGTGAGTGAATTGTCCTGAGTCTCTTGCCTGATGGCAGGAAAGTAAAAAGTGCCAGTGCAGGGTGTCTGGGGTCTTTCAGGATGTTCTTGGTTTTCCTGAGACAGCGCGTGCTATTCAGGCTATTTGGGGGGTTAGGGCTATCTATTAGCACTACGGTAGCATTTTTCGACAAGGCAGCATATATCGACAGAACACCGGCGCGAGCCTCCATACATGCACGTGCGGAGCCACCGAGCTGCTCGGCGTCTTAAGGTCCGAGCTGCGCCGTTTGACGTTTAACCGGACACACGAATTTAAGTCAAAGTTAAATTAGTAATGAACGCAATGTATCATAAATTAGCAATGTACATAACTTGGGTTCATTTTGCAATATTACGAGTTCATGTACACTATGTACTATAGCTTCCTGAAGTAAAGGGAGCAAGCCGTACTCAGGAAATAGCAGTTTATACGCAAACACCAAAAAACGCTTTTTTGTGTTGTATGCTAATGGCGATTCTACAGTGAGAGTCCGTTAATGTAATGAAGTAGGTTAAAAAACGGGACGGAATTAAAAGACGTGATTTCTATGAACATTTTATATTTAATGAGCTAGCTTTCGTTTTAGTAAAGACAAAAAGCTGCAAAACATTGGTATGTTTGAAACTATAGCGTGTAAGTCTGTTGCCAGACGAGACTGAAGTTGGTTTTTTATTCGCAAAATCCGTTCTACCTTAAATAGACATAATGCATATTCTGCCGTATTCACAGCAATTTATCTTGTCAGTGTCAAATCATCTGTTCTGAAGCTCAATACCATCGGATACAGCAACGATTACATTTGTTATATCCAGAGTTTGAAGGTATTTTGCGGTAAATTTTCTAATATAATGCCCTCTGAAATACTTTTTTTCCCCCTATTACGACCCATTGAAAAAACGCGTGATCTGCCATGGCACATTAACAGCAATTTATCTGGTCAAAATCAACACGTCTCTTCTAATGCTAAATACCCTCTGGTATACCAGCTATTACACTTACTATATCTAGAGTTTGACGGTATTTTACTGTATTTTTTTTAAATAACTCCACCCGAAACTGGTAATTTTCCTTAAAAGACCTATTGGAAAAACATGGTGGTCAGACATGACCTGATTGGTAGTGCAGAACCAGCGAGAGCGGCACAGTTTTTTTTTTGCAAGAGCACTGGTATGTTGTTGGGGAAGTGTGTATTGCCATAATGCCAAAATAAATATTGTGAAAACGTATTTGTGGATCTTTTGTTGACGTACAATTGTATTTCTATATGAGAACTTCCACATACTGCACTCACGTGCCACCCTGCCAAATTCTTTTGCCACTCCTTAGCCAACACCATGTAAAATTTTCTGTATCCACCACTGGTTGCAAGCACCGAATGAAGATTTAACATTAAAGCTAAACTTCAGAATTTATGCCAGCATGTAAACTATATAAAGCACTGAGTGCTTGGACCAGCGGGGTGGAAGAGTGAGGTCTGTGGTCGTGGCGGTGTTACCTTCGCTGGCTTCTCTTTCAGCTTCCCCTCTATCAGATTTTCGCACATTGAACAGAAAGTTTCCATAGGTCCAGTTTTGCATCCTGATACATGAATGAGTTTTCTCGTCTATACAATTGATTCTGAGCCCCAGCTGTCTGTTGTCACATTCAGCATTGAATCCTATAGTCTGAACTCAATTTCCAGTTGATAAACCGTCAGAGCATTTCTGTTACCAAGTGTACTCTGTACGGGTCTAAAAAGTTTGAGAGAAGTACAGACATAGTTTGGGACATTTTATTATTGGTATTGTTTTGAGTGTTTGAAAACTGAAGTGAGTGTAGTGATGGGAGTGAGCAATCATTCAGTAGCATTTAACTAACAGCATGTGGTGGAATTTGTCAGCAGAGCTTCTTCTGACAGTAAACATAATTTTTGAAACAGTATTTTGGACTAGATATAAGTATTTTGATTTTAGTGGGTTCTTGGTTTTTATAGCACAAAATCTGGTGATTCATGACTATTACAGTTTTACAAAAGCAAGACAACTCTAGAAGTATAATCCCCCTTGGAAAGATTATATTAAGATGAGAAAAAACAGGATGGGCCAACTTAGAAAAAAATGCATCAAAAATACTTTGCCTTCCGTGTAAGACTTTCTTTTCTGTTTCTTATCTAGTGTCACAAGATTCATCCGACGATTTCCTGTTAGTGAAAGTTCTGCTTTCTCATCAGACCTTAATCACATGGTGAAACTGACATGTCTGGCAAGCATTTTCAAAAATTCAAGGCCCTTTATTGTTGGAGCCTTATATAATATTCACAAAAAAAAGCAAGCCAAAAGCAGGGCCATGCTCAAATTATGTAATCATGTAGCATTTTAACAGTACAGTACTGTTTTATCATTCTGCAGTGTTCTACTGTAACATGGGAAAATTCTTACAGTTTAACATCCTGTTGAATGCAGTGCATTTTGAGATGGCAGCTGAACAAAAAATGGGTGAGAATGGAAGGATAATCAGTTGATAATGAGCCTACATCCACAAATTTGGCAATCAGTATGACTCAAGTGCCAGATATAATAAATGACCTTTTTGCATTTTTATCGTTTTCAACGTTTCAGACGCGTGATCATTTTGGTGGTAACGATTAATAGTAGTGTATTTAATTACAGGAGAGGGGAGGTTTGCTCTTTTCCACCTTCGTAGAAAATGAAGGGCACAAGAGCGACTTCGTTTTCTCCGAAGGCTGAAAAGAGCAAATCTCCCCTCTCCTGTCCTCACAACTTTCTACAGAGGCACTATAGCACCTCAGTCTGGTACGGTAGCTGCACTGCCGCTGAACAGGAGACACTTAAGAACATAAGAACTATACAAACGAGAGGAGGCCATTCGGCCCATCGAGCTCGCTTGGGGAGAACTTAACTAATAGCTCAGAGTTGTTAAAATCTTATCTAGCTCTGATTTAAAGGAACCCAAGGATTCAGCTTGCACTACGTTATCAGGAAGACTATTCCATACTCTGACTACACGCTGTGTAAAGAAGTGCTTCCTTAAATCCAGTTTGAAATGTTCTCCCGCTAATTTCCACCTATGGAAATTCTTGTATTTGAACTAATGCTGAAGTAACTATTCGGTTGAACAGCATCCAAACCTGTTAGAATCTTATAGACCTGGATCATGTCCCCCCTCAATCTCCTTTGCTTGAGGCTGAACAGATTTAGCTCAACTAACCTTTCCTCGTATGACATTCCTCTAAGACCAGGAATCATTCTTGTGGCCCTACGCTGCACCTTTTCTAAGGCCGCAATGTCCTTTTTAAGATATGGTGACCAAACCTGCACACAATATTCTAGGTGAGGTCTCACCAAGGAATTGTATAATCTTAGCATTACCTCCCTTGACTTAAACTCCACACACCTGGAGATATACCCCAACATCCTCTTCAGAGAGTGGTGAGGACGGCAGAGAAAATCATCAGGACCTCTCTCCTATCTGTTCAAGAACTACACTACTCACGTAGCCAAAACAGATCCATTAAGATCATAAAAGATCCCATGCACCCGGCACGAGCTGCTTGAACTTCTGCCCTCTGGTAAACGTTACCGCAGTATGCACTGCAGAACAACCAGATTTAACGAGAGCTTCTTCCCTCAGGCCATCAGAATACTAAACTTCTGTACACATACATGGACTGTCGATTCACACACATGACAAAATGTCTGAACACTGATACATACATGGACTATCAACCTACACATTCAAACATATATCCCTAAATGCTGCTAGTTCATGTGAAACCCTAACTCTCTTACTCACTCTGCACTTTATTACCACAATAGGTATTAAGTTTACATTTTATTTATATAGTGCAATAATACAATCACTGTGAATACTGTATCTATATAGTGCAATAATACAATCGCTGTGAAATGATGTGCAATATTTTTCTTTTCATCATATTCACCCACTGACTGGTTTTACATTTCTGTATATGTCTATTGTTTTGTATATTTAGTGTCTGTCCTGTGCTGCCTTATGCTGCCTTACACAGTCTTACTTACTTCTGTATAAAAAGTGAAATTTTGTTTGTAATCTCCGTATGTTGTCTATGTGCATTTGCCCTTTTATGTCTGCACATTGAGCCTGGAGACACGCAATTTCGTTCAGCTATGCATCCGTTGTTGTACTGTTGTATGGTGTGAATGACAATAAAGTTCGCTTACTTACGTAAGTAGTTTTGTTATGTATTGTAGCTCTAGATAAAACAATGTACCAGTTACAAATGTATACAATGTTTATATAATAATAGTCATGGTAATACTAGCTTGTTGACTGTGGGAATCAACAAAAAATGTCAGGTGACATTCATGAAGCTAGCTAATATCTGTTCTGTTACATAAATCTAACCTATTAACATCAGTACATCACTGTACTTGTGGGGAATATTGATCTAAAAAAAGGATCATATTGTTACAAAATCGTTTTGTTGGGCTTTAAATGTCGATTCGTTGTTGAAAAAGACTTTGAACAAACACCCTATATTCATATTCTGTATCACATATATCTGATCCCTCTATTTCTTTCCTTGTGATTGTTGCAAACCTGCTGGGTAAATGGCTATGGAAAATGGGTATTTGTGTGTATAGATGAGAGAAACAATTTCATTTAAATTTCTAAGTAGGTCTTTCAGAAACTGTAGTTTCTCAATACACATATAACAAGACAAGCTAAAATAAATCTTGTAAGATACATTCTAACTGCAGTTAAATCAGTCAGATTAAAACAATCTATCTAAAAGCTTTCAGATTATAAATTCAATATTAATTAATTAATTATTCAGCAATGTTGAGTCAAAGGTTAAACACGTTTTAAAAATGTATCCATGCTCATCTGCCAAGAGATGACATTCTGTATAGCTATGGATGACCAAACAGTGATCTGCAGTTACAGAAGTTTAGCAGTGTATTAATATATATAAAAACAATAATTTATGTAAACTACTTAAATGTTGAATCATGTTACCTTTACTAATTTTCTTAGAAAACTCAGCTTGAGCAGTAATTATAAAATTCTTCATCCGCACAGCCTAATGGAAAGTTTCTTCAAAATAAATTATTAGCATCACAGAGAAGAGACTCGTATCAAGAGAGTGCTTATTAGATCCTCTTACCAGGTAGAAAAGACCAGCCTTTCCTGAGTACAATTGTTGCTTATATATGATATGCATGTGTATGACATGGGTGGAACCCTAATGGTGGGAACATGTGTGGAACCCTGACATACACAGAAACACAAGGAATAACTGCAATCATATAGGCAGAGGTGGATAGTTCAGGTCCAGAAAGGAAAAATCCAGACCAAGATTTTGTTTTAACCAACCAGTTGAGTACTCTGACTGTGACTCTTTACAATCTCTTTACAGACTCTTTACACTCTTTATGTTTCAACTGGTTGGTTGAACCAAAGTCTGGATTTGTACTTTTTGAATCTGAGCTATCTACCTCTGCATACAGGAGAATCCGTCTAATGTAGGTTACCCAGATGCTTGGGTATAACACAAATTAGGGCATGGTTTAATCACACGGACACACACAGATAAAAAAATAAGTAAATAAAAACACATAACCAATATCTGTGCCATAAATATTTTAGAGTATAATTGTTATTAGTATATATGTTTTAGGCATATTACACATAGTACTTACATTATACACAATTACTGTCTGCAACAGAATTAATAAGCTATTTCATAGAAAAGCAAGTAAGTTGAATCACAATAACGGGTTATGATGCAGGACTGTCCGTCTCTGGTCATGGGAAAAAAATCATCACTCAATCCAATCTACAGTTCAGATCCACATAAATTTAAATGTGAAAGTAATACAACAAGTGAGTAATAAAAACAAAAAGCCAAATATTGGAATGTCAGATATAAACATCACATTTGGATACTTAAAATATGACAAAATATTATAGTACATTTGCCATGCAAAGATATACATATATATTTATGTATTTTTGCTAACAACTCTACATGATTCTTCACTACAAAATGATTCATTTTCTTTATAATAGAGGATTTAATTTAAACTTTCAGAAATACAAAATATTTTAAATGAATCTCAAATTGGTGAGGTCCTGAAATAATTTGCTAGGCATGTGGTGAGCACAGGTAAAATGTGTGCATTTTTTTTTAAATAAAACAATGTTGCCCTCTAGCACCCTCTAGAACTTTTATCAGGCAGTGTTATCTGGCATGAAGTTCAAACAGTTCACAATAAAATAAAATGGGCACATA